AGCACCGCTTCTAACAACCGGCCAGCTTAAATAATAATCACAAAAATGTTCTCTTCCGGAGATTTCGATTTCTCACTCTAGTGGTCTCGAAGGAATATCATGAGAAGAGATGCTTATGGTGGGATTTGTAAGTCCTTCGTGATCTATACCACATCAGTACTACAGTGATTGGGAATTTTTAATCTCGATAAAATAAACGACTTGCTACTAAGTTTGAAGTGTAGTGTAAATATGTCGAGGGAAATATAGCTCAAAAATATTACTCAAACAGTATCTTCAAAAACCGAAGGCCAAATGTGAGCACGACCTCAGTCACATTAAGTCCTTAATTAACAAGGCACTCCCAGAAGCAGTTTCAGGAGTTAGCATCCGTAAGCCTTATAGAACAAGGCCTGTGGAGGTCCGTAGTTTGATTTTGTCCTCATTTAGATCAATGATATTCGTTGAAGGGCTCACGATTTTGGCGGCCCGTGGATCTGACTCCTACTTAGAGCGTATAAATGTTTGCTGTCACCTATTTTCGTGTAAAATCGTCGACTTAAATCGCGTCAGTCAATAACGGAACTAAATAAGTCGAATAACGAGAATTGACTTGTGAATACATATATTTTGTACATGAAGCGAATGAAACAGATCAAAGCAAAAATGACACGCAGGGAAGATGGTTGGGAAGCCAACTCCATTTTTGTCAAGCGTTACTCAATATATATAGTCAGACAAAATAAAGCTACAGATATGTGATTAATGGGTTGAGAAGGGCACACACATATACACTCATATAAAAACAGACAAGACTGCTAAGCGAATAATTGACAAGGAATGATCGAAAGCTAGAATAAGATATATGTGCTTAAAATAATGATTGACACTACAGTCCAAAAGGTGGATTCTGAAAGTACTCAGAAAACCTGTTTATTGAAGGTTGCTTTTGCTACAGTTGAAGAAAGAAACGTGATACTGGAAAACTCACGCAAAGTGATTAGAATTGGTCTCAGCCTAGTTGACAGCACCAAGAAACGAGCTGAAGAAGTAGAAATAAATGAGCGCCGCCGAAACGGTGAAAGAAACCTTGTAATTAAGGGTTTTTAAATTGTAAAGTTTTGGAGCAAAACGACCCTCAAACCACCCTTGGGGGCAGGAGAAAGTTCCCCACAAAATAAAGGTGTGCTACACAAATGCTCGCAGCGTGCCAAATAAAATGGCGGAGCTCAAGGCAGTGGTGGGTATAGAAAACCCATATGTTAATACAGTTCCAGAAACATGGTTACCGTCAGAATTGTTTTATAGTGAAATTCAGTTGACTGGTTTTATATTCAGTAAGGTTGATGAATTAAACAGTAGGGGAGTCGGGGTTATCATATACACGAACAGTATCTTAACCATAAGAGCAGTTGAGACAGTGACACATGATTCAGGGACATTTGAACTGATGCGTTTCAGGCTGAAATGTAGACGGCAAGATATTGAATGGGTTGTAGTATATAGCAGTCTAGAATGTGTAATAGATGACTTCCTCCTGAGCAGACTTAAGTTCTGGTGTAATTGGGGTGGAAGCGTTATAGTAGGCAACTTTAATGCACCGTATATAAACTGGGTAAACTTAAAAGTAAGGTCATCGATAACGTCATTCGATTGTAAATTCTAAGAAACCTCAACCGCACCAGCTTTATTCCAGCACATTAGAGATCCCATCAGATATGACTCATAAAGCTCCTCGTCTTTCTCGGATTTAGTCTTCACACACAATGATGAAGTCCGTCAAATTACTTTCCCTCTACCTCTAGGGAGAAGCGATCATGCAGTCTTATTAATCAAACTCATGGCTGAGATGGCCTGTCAAACTATTGCGCCGGCCCGTCCCAACATATGGAAGGCGGACAGGGTTTCAACCAACTCTGCAACATCTGCTGAAAACTGGGAAGTTGACTCAAGAACATCAGTACAAGAGGCATGGACTCATCTCAGACAGTTATACAATCAGACGATTCAACCACATATAACCTGGACAGTGCCAAAAAAGAGAACCACGGCCAACCCTGGATGGGCGGAGATATTCGACGTTTACTAAGATAAAAGGAGAAACTTTGGAATGTTTCCGTCAGACTTTGCACAGCAAGTACGATGGAGCGCTATAGGTTGGTAAGAAACAAGGGTATAATTTAAATCCGGGAATCTCAGAGAAAATATGAAATAGAGCTGGCACAATTTTCACTCAAGCAGCCTTAGAGAATATTCTCGTACATAAATAACAGAACAAGGATACATCACTGGATTCTTAACCTAATTAAAGAAGGGAGTGAATCTGAAACGATAGAGGAAAATCATGGAAAAACGGATGCTATGGCTAAATATTTTGGGGCATCTTTCATTCAGCAACCTCTTTTAGACCCAAATACAAAGTCAACAAACCCCCTGCTTACCGTGAACTTTGATCAGGACGATGAACTTAACACTCTTAGCACCTTAGACATAGAAAATTCAACAGGTCCGGATGAACTACACCTCAAAATCCTGAGACATACTGCACAATATATCGCAGCCCCACTGACACTGCTATCCAATGTCACTTGACCAAGGCGTGTTAACTATCAGCTGGAAGCATGCAATCGCCACTCACATACATAAAACAAGACCAAGACAACTTCCATCGAAATACAGACCTATCAACCCCACCAGTATTGTAGTCAAAATATTGGTAAGAATAGTCGAAAGGACCATAATGAAATTTTCAGAAAGGGTTTATCTCGCACAACAAACTTAATAGCAAGGGAGCATTGGATAAAGACGCTAGGCAGTGGAAACTCAGTGAATGCTGTCTACATAGACTTCAGTAAGGCATTCGGCAAGTTGCTGACAAATGGACTGCAATTGAAGTCAAAAAACCTTGGTATTACCGGACTTCTATTAAAAAATGACTTAAGGATTTCCTAGTAGGTCGTAGACGGAAAACAAGAAAAAAATTCCAAGCGCTCTACCTGGAAACCAGTACATAGTTGGGTACCTTAAGGTTCTATCTCAGGTTCTTTACTTTTTGTACTGTATGTAAATGATTTCCCAAGTATGTTACAGTACCCAATGCTATTAGACGCTTACTATGTAAAATCTAGTGAGTAATAACGGGAGACACAGATACATGCGCACTTCATGCAGATTTAAATGTGATTAAGTGATATAAATAGTCGCTGATGCATATCAACGCAGCAAAGTGTGTCTAATGCACTTCGGGGATACAAAAGTTAATAGATACTGTAACGAAAAAAGGACAATGAAAATCCCTCCACAGTTTTTTTGTTGGACAGTACTGTCATTGCTTTCCTTCTCCCTATCGTATATTTTAACCTTTGTTCAGATCTTGTTTAACCACACTTTTTGTTCTTCAGTATTCCTCGTCGTGTTTGACCAAGCTCAAGGTCACAGCGTGGCTCAGTGTGTGGCTGTAAACTTTCTGAATGTCTGTTTGGGAGGATTGCTGGAATCCTTGCAAACAGATATTTGATCCCATCTTGTTGGGAATATTTTTATTGATTCGCAGTTATCGAACCCTTTGGTATTAACTGTTTCTTTTATTGTTTAGCGCTCTGCATTGCGTTAGAGAAACTTCTGACTGTATAGCACAGGCTGTACCGTTTGAGGTATTTTGTATTTTTGATATAATTTTTTCTATTTCCTGAATTATAACCGTTTACATTGAGCACACAATTTGTGTTTTGATATAATTTAATACGAGTGTCTCAGAAACGCTTGTTACGCTATACAGAAGAACGTAGTCTGGCCTATTCGAATACATTTTGATTCGTCAGTCCTGCGTTCAAACCAAATACTGGCAGTTCGGTCCTTACGAATACAGCATAGGGGAAGTGCCATTACCCGTAGTCTGGTCTCATAAGGATCTTGGGGTGACAGTGAGTCATTATTTAGGATCACGGCGCATCTACTAGAAGTCGAAGCTAAGGGTATTGGAGCCCTCTAAGCTTTCGGATGGACATTCACTAAGTTAGATACTACCAAGTTCACTACAGTATGCACAAGCTTAGTGAGAACTAAACTTGAGAACTTCGTTCAGGCTGCAACCTCCTGTTTAAAAGGTGACTCAGATATCCTGGAAAAAATACAGAGGGCAGATAACTGCGCAATTTCCTAAGTCCAGGGTTTACGATACAAAAAGCGGCTTCAAAAGCTAGATCTTGAAGATGCCACGGGTATTCAGAGTTTGACAACGCTTTAACTAGTAACACCTAATTTGAAGCGTACTTACCAAGTGAAATCAAAAGACAGAAGTGAGGAGGTTTGAAGATATATTTGATAGGCTATCAATATATCAAGGACTGTCTGATCTAATTAGGCTAGGGATTGCAGTGGTTGATGAGCACGGCGTTCCCACTCGTGATCTGGTGCGGATACATGACTGAGCGCCCCCAGCTAGGTGGTTAGCATCTAATGTCGAAAACCTACAGAGCTATTTAGTTTGGGGACTTAGTTACCGCTACAACCTCTTTATTCTGTCCTATCGCAGATTAAAAGGTGATCTAGTTTTGATGAATAGAATGATAAGAAATGATTTTGAACGTAATGTATCCTCCCTTTTTCTTCCCGCTAGATCGAGACATCTCGGAGGACATAGTAGGCGAGTGGAAAAGCCAAGAATGAACAAAATACCCGTAGCATACAAGTTTTCACACCGAGTCATCAATTCTTGGAACCTGTTAACGAAGCAGGGGTGTCCGCACATTCAGTTGACTCATTCAGGAGAAGACTGGACACTCATAGAAGCATACTATAAAAACAAATAACACACTCTGTAGGCCTTCTGTATTTAATACACAAACTAGGATATGAATCTGAAAAACAGCAAGAGTATAAGCATCACATAATTTCTTGCGAAACGCTCTAAACCAACAACAAATCCACTTAAAAAAACGTGATCGAAACTTAATAATTTCAGAGACCTTTAAAAAATAAGCAATACACAAAAAATCAGAAAGAGCTTCCTGAACACGTAATTTGTTTTAAATCTTCACCATAGTTGTACCAAAATACACATCTGTTCAAATATAAAGTTTTTATCGTGTGCGGTCAGTGCTGTACAACTTATTAGGTAAGTGTCACGCGAAATACTGCTAACGATTTCACAGTATAAGTAATGTCCCATCTTTTTCATGTTCACAGCACACAAAACTCAAGCATCATAATGAATTACTCTTATTACCTAAGGTTACCATAATATATTTCATTGTTGGTCTGGTAGGAATTATGCCGATAACTCGACCCAAAGTACAGAGATTTTAGGAGCTAAATCATCTCAATGATGGTCAATACACAATGTTCGTAATAAAATTCAATCTCCAAACCTAAAGACAAAATATCTTCACTTTCGAAAAAAGCACTTATTATACCTAATGCTTGTTTTTGCCTCATAAAACCAGAGTAACTGCATAACAGAATGTGTTTCAACCAATTACATCCTTACTTACGATTATGATGCAGTTGCATTGCACTGATAGCGCTGATACTAACTCCGCACTAAACGTTATAATATAGGGATGATTGTTTCGACATCTTGATGACTGTAGAAAGTTTTAGAACTCGCCGTCATGCACATAATTGTGTTCCCTAATTGTTTGTGTGTCATGGTTAAATAACTCGAACCTCTGGAATACACATTTAAATCCGATTATTCTTTCTTCAGCTTTGATAATAAGATAGTGTCAGAGACAGAATTTGTGCACAGAAACAAAGTACCTGAAATTGTATGTGGCTGTTGAGTTAAATATACAGGTACAAGAAAACGTCTTAGGTGTCAGATTTTACAACGAACATCGTCATTCACAAGAGCGTTTGCAATTGGTTACTGATTAAGAGTTAATTATAATCAACACTAAATTTTGGGAATACAGCAGTTTACCACAGTTCCGAGGATAAATAATCACCCTAAATTTTTAAAATTCATCATTTATCTTAGGTACTTTGATCCTAATGAGTTTGTTGCAAATTTTAGATACTTGAATATCTAATATTACTTTGATAAACCTAAATTCTGAATAACTAAAGGGCGATTCCTTTTACTTCTCTTTGTCGGTGATTATAAAGCAAACTATTTGAGGTTTTACTGAGGCTTCATTAATTTTATCACAATGATTTCTTTCCATCGTTCTAAAATGAAGTGTGGTAGCTTAAGCTTATGAATATGTGGTATTTTTAACCCATCACGATTAGTAGCAGGAGAAAAGAACCGAGAATAAAATGTAGTAACGATGATTTGAAAAATGCGATGTTTCAAGATTGTTACGACCGCAATCACTCTGGTGTACCTTTTTCTGGAAGTAACTTATGTTTCTCACTTTGAGATTGACACGATATATAAACGCTCTGGTAGTGTAAACGAGTGTACATGCCTGGAAACAGCTTCTTGAAGGGTTTTTTAGTCATACTGTATGGATGTCCGGGATTCACTTGCGAATTTTTTATGTGCATAGTAGTGCTTTGAAACCACTTTTTGAACTCACCGCTCCGTACTGACAAGCTTAAGGTGTAGGTATCTGTTAATTGTTCGTGTCACTTGTGTATTTGCAGTAAATTCAGTGAAATAAAGAATGTCTACGTTCATTATAAACATCTCAATAACGGTTTGAATTCCGTAGTGTAGTAGCCTAAAATACGACAACCATCTTTTTGTACCGCTTCTTTGTTCTCTTTTCGCCACAATGCCTTTTTCTCTTATGCGAATGTACGCCTAAATAGATAAGACCGACGTGGTCGTTACCTAATTTCGTTATCACTTTTCTTATTTGATACCAGATACTATGGCTAATATTCTCCCTCCAGCTGATCCACGAGTTGAAAACTGGCCACTAATGAAAGATCCAACACCTGTGTTTATTACTGTTCTACTGTATCTAACTTTTGTTCTCTGGTTGGGTCCAAAAATTATGAAAAAGCACCAAACACCGTTTAACCTACGGCCACTTATGATCGTTTACAACATTTCTCTAGTTCTGCTTTCGAGTTGGCTAGTGTACGAATTTGCTGTTTCAGGATGGTTTACAGGATATTCGCTTGGTTGTCAATCTATTGATCATTCAAGAAGACCGATTGCTATGCGTATGGCTAGTACTTGCTGGGTTTTTTTCATTTCCAAAATAATTGAATTATTTGACACCGTATTGTTTATCCTCCGAAAGAAATTTGAGTTAGTTAGCTTTCTTCATGTTTTTCATCATGCAATCATGCCTATTTCCTGGTGGTACGGTGTGAAGTATGTCCCAGGTGAGCATTATTCATTTTCTTAGCTTTCATTATAATTATTCACATAATGTAGTTCTTACGTAATTTATATGGTGTTATTTAAAGTTGATCTGTTGTTTGATCCACCTTAAGTTTGACTAAGAGGCATTCAATTTTTAATGACTGATATCAGATAACTTAACAGTGTTTATTATGTTCCTAAAAATACATTCTGATTACATAATGCCTACATAACATTGACCATTAAACTACCATGCATTTCCTAAAATTAATTCCTCAGTCAATCACTATATAACAAGAAAATTTTTTATTTTTCTTTCAGGTGGTTTAGGAACTTTTCATGCATTTTTAAATTGTATCGTCCACGCCTTTATGTATACTTACTATGGTTTGGCTGCAGCTGGACCTCGTTTTCAAAAGTATATATGGTGGAAAAAGTAGGTTTTCAATATATAATGAGGAATATATTGTCTACAACATTTCTAATATTCAATATTATTACCTTATCAGAAATTTTACTTCAGCTTGTATCTTTCAAAGACGTGAACTGTACCTTTACAATAATGCTGAATACCTAGGTTTCGGATCTATGATCCATATTCAATTTACCATACATTTCTTAAACAACTTAATCGACTACCCAACCAGAACTTCTTGACAATCCTTAAGTGTCTAATATCGTTTCAGTCTTCAATGGCACACATTCAATTTATCTTTAATTATTTTAGCCTCCAGTCACTTTACACTAAAGTGTAACGAAGGTTACTGTGGTACATATGCGGAGAATCATTGCTTTTGAGTGATTCAATATAAAATTTTTACGAATCCTTGATTAAAACGTCATTGATTTTATGTATTATCTCAGTGGTAGTAGACTCATTGTTACTATCACTTAAGGTCTATAACAATCAATGTTCATTGCCTGACCCACATGTACCATGCATCATGCGTTTGCCAACAAAACATACAGACGCTGATGTATTCAATGTCTACAGAAATAGAGATCGTAATAAAAGACTTAAAATGTTAGGCGCATTACCTCAAGATTAGGAAAATAAGTATTGTCTGCCATGACTGATTCGTTTGACCATCTACGTTTTACAATTTGAGTAAGAGTATTTTCTGATATTTTTATATGTAATGTAGTGGCAATGGTTAATTAATTCCTGACTTTATATTTTTGTATTTTATACAGATACTTAACTGCAGCTCAAATAACCCAATTCATCATTGTTATTTTTCACTCAACATATGCATTGAGTATAACCGATTGTAATTACCCAAAATTTTTCAGTTACTGGATTTTGGCATCAGCATTGATTTTTCTTTTTTTATTTTCAAAATTTTATTACAAAGTAAGTTTAGATAGAATGAGTTCTCTGAACTAGATGATTTATTTGTGGAGCTTTCATTGTTTTGTTCATTACATCGTCAGAGCTTAGTTCATTGAGAAGTGATCTTTTTCAGTTATTCCACTAGCCTTATACCAGTATGCCCTGATGGTGTTGTTTGTCATTGACCTTCATGCCAGATTTTCTTGTCATTGTTTGTCCTTGTACCCAAGTTGACTATATTGTGTCGTCAACCTTTCACTATTTATCCACTTGTTCATGTGCACCATGGAACCCTGTACAAATATACATCAATTCAAGCTGCCATACAATATTATCAAAACGAGGTTGTATTATCAAGAGTAGTAGAAGTAGTAATAGTGTTTGTGGTAGTAAGAAAGACCAACTATTAAAGTGTAAAAACGTCTGTAGGGATTTTGAGATCCAGAATCTAAAAGAAGATAAATAAGAAATGCATCTGTGCCACTGCAAATGATTCTGAATCTTGTCACCCAAAGTCTCCAACCACTAATCGCGGTTGTCATGAGGATACCAATTAGATAGCCTTATTTACCTATATGGCTAATTCGAATTGTCAATGATTTTCGTTTTGTTCTGGATACCCTATCTCTCTTCAAGTCTAGACGGACTTTCTTAATATACGTCCTAACTACTTCTCAATGAAGGTATACTACCTCTAATTGATTTGTCCTCTTTATAAAGTACTTTGTATATAACCTCAGTATTACTTACTCGATGGTCTTGACATAGACGATCAATACCTCGAAGAAATCTGTGATTGAGTGCTATTAATCTACGAAAATTCTTTTTTCCTAATAGTTTTATTTCTTATCCATAAAGTAGAACTAAACGAACTGTTGCCGATATAAGTCGTCCTTTGGTTTGTAGATAGATATCTTGTCTACGTCACAAGTAATTTAATTTAGCAAACCTAAAATAGGTTTCAGTACTTATATCAAAATTTTGTCAGACGCCAACACACAAAATCCGATGAGAGTTCCAAGATAAATGAAGTGATCAACAAGCTCAACTACTTTACTTTCTCTGTCCCTCTCGTTAGCTTAAGGATTGACACAGACCAATCTTTAAATAATATTTCTCATCAGGAGTGCATCCCAAGTATGCTTGCACTGTTACTTAGGGTTATCAGAAGAATGAGTTTTGTCAGTGTCTTCATCAAACAGGATTGTACCATCTGTTCATTCTAAATCAACGAATGAGTCTCCTGTTAGAAGGCCGACCCTTTGAAAGTCAGCTGGTCGGAGTATTATTTGCAGAAGAATCTCTATGGTGAAGTTAAACAAAATGAGAAAATTGAACAACCTTGACGAATACCAAATAAGGTTGATAATTCAACTTACGGTTACCCATAAGCTCTAACGTGACCAGTAGTGTTCGAGTAGAGAGCCTAAACAAGGTTAATGTACGTCTATGATATGTTTTTTACTGGCAGGCATTGCCAAATAACCTCACAACAAACACAATTGACTGCTGTCTCAAGGCCAAAAAGTAAGATTACTTTGGAACTTCACAAAATATATCTATGTTCCCTAACCTGACTAAGGGTGAACATTTGGTCTGTTCTTCCACACCCATATATGATGCCGGGAAGCCTTTCTAGAATTCGTCCTTCATGACCTCTAGTTAAGGTTCGAATTAATATTGTAGACAATATTTAGATAATATATCAATCAAGCAATTTCGTTTGTGATTTTTATGAGAGTAGATTTATCCTTTCTTATAAACTGGAACGACCAGTCGTCAAAACCAGTTAGATTGGATTACGTGTAATTCCTAGATTCTAGCTCATCCAAGTCAGTCTAGCTAATTATTTGATTGATAATCTCCCAAATGGGTTGATAAATCGGATCTAATTGGATATGCTCATTAGTTATTGATTTGTTTTTCATAAATTTCACAGCATTCTTTGAACTCTTCCATTACAAAATGTTGACGTTCTCACAATCGAATTATTGTCCTTATTTGTTTACGTATATTGATAACAACTACAATATTTCATGTTGTTTATGTCCGTATATACACGTTGTCTAAAATGATCGTTATCCGAATGAATACAATTTATTTTGTAGATTGTGTTCTAATTGTCTTCTTCAGTTATTGTGTCTTTTGGTCTATATAAAATAGAATGTAGTAATTGATTTAGTTTATGAGCTAAATCGATTCTATATGGTTTTGAAATCCTCATGATCTCTGATATTTCTGAAACTTGTGTAATAACTAAGAAGTTCTCGTCTCTGTGTATTAGACGCTGATGATAGTTAGAATACTCACCAATACGAAAAGTTGACAATCAATCTGCAAATAATCATTGTTCAGATGATAAACATTCTACATCTTAAGTCTGTGTTGTACTGGTCTACAATTTTTATCCGATATGTCTTAGATTTAAACGTCTCTCTACTCTTATGTAATTTAATTAACTGACTTCAGTCATTAGTACCAATACCTAAAAAATAGTATGACTTAAATCGGAGTATCTGAACTTGATCTAATTAGACTAGTTATACTATTTTCACATGTTTTATATCTAACACAATCTATTGTAATCGATTTAACTCAAAATTATATTATTAGATAGCGGAATTGTGAAAAGTTGAACTTATTCTTATAATTTCACCGATCGACTTTAGTTAGACAGGCATTATAAACTAGGGAGTAGTGGATAAGCGATCTCATATTGATTTGTAACTTCTCATTAGTCCTCATTCAGTAACTCACCGTGGGAATCAAACCCAAAACCTTCAAATCTCACAACGAGCTCCTTACCTTCAAACCACTTAACTAACATCTAATAGTTTAGTATTTGAACTTAATTCAATTCATATGATTATCTATTCAACTTCCAATGGTATTGATAAATAACTGATATTGACACTTGAATCCACTACTAAGTATGATCAAAATCAACACAGTGTTCATAATGTAAATTATTAAAATGCAATAATGTGTTAACAAATTTATTTTATTCGTAACAATATTTACTTTTTTCTCTCTCTCTCTCTCTCTTTCTCTAACTCAGGCCTACGAGAAACCAGTTCATGCATTAAATGGATCAATAGTTGATAATAAATACCATAATAAAGCTCATTAAATTATCTTGTTAGAGTTTGTTTTTTTCTTAAATCTAATAGAAATCAGTAGTAATGATGACAGTCATTATAGTTGCATAGGTCGGAATCTATTGAATACATATATGTATATCCACAAGGGTCTCTCTTTTTTTCTTACATCAGTCCATTCTTTATGGTTGTTCGTCGTGATAAACATAATAATTCTTTATGATATTTTCTCAATGATATTACGTTAGTATCTTTTACGGTTTTCTGTTTTGATGTAGAATTTCATTTTGTAAAAGATACATCATTCAATTTTATAATTTGATATAAGCACACACATACACAGACCTGCACATTCATACAAATGATTATACATGTATCTATGTACATTTTTGTTACAAATACATTGTTCTTATTGTATATTAATAATGTTCTCTTTTTATGGTTAAATATTATCAGTTTAATATCAGATGGGTTTTGTGGAGATTGTAGTAATTTCAATGGTTAAGATCATGAGTCAGTTGAAGCTAGACCACCATGGAAAACCTGGAAGCATTGGACGGCCGTTTTTATTCCTATTGTGAGACTCCTCAGCAGTGCGCATCCATGATCTCGCCCCCTGCGACACTCGAACCCAGGACCTGAGTGTTTTGGTGTTTAAGTGCTCGCGCGCAAAATCAGCAGGTCCTGGGTTCGAATCTCGCAGAGGGCGAGGTCATGGATGTGCACTACTGAGGAGTCCTACAATAGGAATAAAAACGGCCGTTCAGTGCTTCCAGGTTTTCCATGGTGGTCTAGCTTCAACTGACCCATGATCTTGACCATTTGAAATTATCATCAGCTTAATTGATAATTTATTTTATTGTATCAAATAAACATTTATAACAGATGAAATAATAGCGTTACGTAATAATTGTCTTATTGTAATCATTGCCATGTATAATGTGTTTGTTTTGTTTTCATTATTTCTTTGATAGATGTGATAAGATTGAACATTGATAAACATTTAATGATATTATCTATTAAATCTGAAGTTTGAATTCTATTCTATTTGAACTCCAATTTAGATAATGAAGTTTTATCTTACTGTATCTTACATGTACACTTACAAGTGGTTCGATTTGATAAATACCTGATTTAACAAATCAGTTAGATGATCATATAAACTATGTTCATTTGAATTAACTAATAATATGAAATAATGATCACGTCGTTATAGATAGTAATATTGATTTGGTGGAAATATCTGTTTGCTAAAAGTAAACTCCACTTGTAGCTCTTCTAAGGTTATAACCGGTCCCAAGCCCAGGTGAGAGAGAAAGATTGAGTATGGCGTCAGCAACTCCATCTCGTAGAAAACAAGTTTACTTAAAAAAGAAAACATTAAATAAGAGAAAATTGAACCATTTAGACTCTTCCCTTTGAGTTCAAGGAAAAATTATGATGGCTCATAGTGAAAGTCGAGATTCTTCGGAAGTCATGAGGCTGATGCCCCTTTTAACAACAAGAGAAATAATTAATATAGACATATAGAATATTTGGATAATGTGGAACACTGGCAGGACCAACCAAACAGATTCGGAAATGAGGAAATACAACTTGACGGTTCTCAAAAGAAGTGACAGAAAAAATTAGATTCAACAGAGATAATGTTATACTCTGGTCACGAAGAAGAAAGTGTTCTTCAGACTCAGGTAGATGCTCTGATGCTGTACAGAGAAGCACGTCAAGCACCTGTAAGATGGAAATCTAATGGGTCCAGAATAATCAAAGCATCCTTCAAAACAAAAAGAGGGTTATCACAATGAATGTTATCCAGTGCCATTCACCCACCAATGATAACAAGGAAGACAATAATGATCAGTTCTACGCGACCATCCTCCATTATATTCTGTGAGTAACTGCATCACAACTAAAACGGTTGATATCCACCAGTCACAGCTTCTCAGTGGTTTAGGGGTTAAGCTTTTGTGAGCGGGACCTAAGGTACTGGGTTCGAGTCTTGTTTGCGGGTTCGTGGGTCCTATACTAGGACGAGACGATCATTCAGTGCTTCTAGCATAGCATTGGTAGTCTGATATTGATTGGTTTATGATATCAATAAAACCTCAACAATCTCCACAACCCTATACAGATCAGTTTTATGTTTAGACTCTTTGAAAACAAATAGAAATTTTCATCAACGAAACAGTGCCTTAGGGTAACAAGCTGATGTTCCGAACCTTTCTTATACCTACATCAATATAGATACTTTATCAGTAATAAAAGCCGTAATAGGAATAATATGACAAAATTGATTACACAAATGTTTTCCATGATTGTTTTAATCATTTATACAATCCAATAGTGCTTACGTAGCTACATAGTTTAGATGACAGTTTTAAATTCAAACAAGCGACTAAGGTTTGAACCAAAATCTACTTTAAAGAAAATACGCATATTGTGTAACCACACTTTCAAACTATAGTTGGTTTACACTTTAAAATGGGAGGATAGATATTTTTCTTATCAGTTATCTTCTATGCATTCATTTGGTATTGTTTACTTGAATCTTCCTGTTGATGTTTAGAACTGCAATTGATCAATCTCTTATTGACAACTGTGCATCTAGTGAGTATTGCTTCGATATTACCTTAGTTCACAAGCATTATAAGCAAAGATGAATAATGGCTAACAGTGGAATCTAGAACGCACGTTTCGCCCTAAGTAGATAACGCTATGGCGTTTGAAGCGAACGGTACTAGGTTTGAGTCCCAGAGATGCAGGTAAATCCAGCTGACAAGTCCCAATTAGGAGGAAACGCGCGTCCTGGATTCCAGTGCTAGGCTTTATTCATCTTTGCTTATCTTCTATGAAGTTGTAATTGGCTATTTTTTTAAAAAACCTTGCTGTCAATATTTGGGTCATGAATGGTTGTTCATATGTATGGTGTAGTTTTATGAAGAACATTACCAAACAATACACATTGGGTAATGAAACAATTCTCTCAGTTTGTATATATATTTTTAAGAAACAAAGTACTTTACATTCAGTTTAACAAATGTATTTCATACATACATTTTCGTAAGCTGAATAATAATAATTGAAAAATAAGTTAAGCTTCAAGGTATCTGAAAAGAGTTGTCTTAATCTATTCTAAATCGTACATATGGTATACGCTACCTATGTCGATAGTAGAAAGTTGAGAAGATCAAATTAAAGAGAGTAATTGTAATGATAACAGGAATGAAGGAGCGATGAAATTCAATATAACCATATACCCAAGCTTTATAGTGACTAAATTGTTATTTTTAGCAACATTAATCAACTTCGATTGAATGTTCACAGTTCTTATCCTATATCTTCAACCCTTGACAAGATATACAATGATGGGAAATCTTGAATACGACTGAGATATGTGTCTATTATTTCTCTTGATTATTTTAGTGAAGATCGTGGATGTGCTCTGTTAAGGAGTACCATAATAGGACGAAACAGCCATCCAGTGCTTCCAGATTTTCCATGATGGTCTAGCTTCAATTGACTCAATATGAACTACTAAAATTACTAGAAGATCCACAAAACCCCTTTTGATTCTAAATTAGTTAAATAAATTAATATTCAATATACAATACTTCATTTCTATGTAATAATCACGTCAGATTCAGTGAATTTTATTATTATATTAAGGTTATTTACAGCTCAGCATAGATTATGCTTGAAATACACTAGAAATCATACATAGTAATGACTGAGAATCTAATTAGTAGTTTAGGACACTAAAGTGTATATTCTTGATTTGGGTCAGACCATTCGTATAAACTGGTTGGGTCAAATTTTAATATTTCATCTTTTAAACTTTAGTCACTTCATAATTTAGTTGAAGAGATTATGTGGACTTGTTGGTTGTATTCGTTAAAGGTTGAGCTTAGTTGAGGTACCTTTAAAAACAAAGAAACAATAAACAGATAATTCGTCTTACAATTAAGTTCCTTAGTCGTTGCGCATTCATGAAGAAATCTGCAATAATCAACTCAATAATGACTTACTTCAAGATGTTCGTAATGTTTTGGTGAGAAATATTGACCTGTGAAATTCAAATGTATCCGTTATCACCAATGGGATTAGGTTATTGTCGAGCTATATGGTAAATTGATTATAGTTGAAATGATAAAATCTCAATGATTGGCCTGCCTTCTTTGTACTTGGCCGGTCTCTTTGGTTTATTATATTTCCGTGTTAGTTTCTTCACTGTATTAAATGATTGTCTGATATTTCTTCTCCTGCAACTTTTCTGCTAACGTTGCTAGTTTTTCCACGTATTTCTGATTGTCGGCTCCAATGCTCTTCTTCACTTGCTCGTTTGCTTATGTGTATTCAGCTTGTGCCTTATATTTCTCTGCTCCTGTTCGGCTATTGTTAATTGCCGTCTACTTGTTCTTCCTTTTCTTGGATCTTGTCTAGGGTTCCCATAAAGATCCATTCCTTATGATGATGCTACAAGCGGCCCAGCACCTCCTGACATATTGAAATTAGTGCTTGTTTGATTCCTTTCTAGTTGTCTTCCACTGTAGTTTCTTTTTTCAGTAGATCATGTAAAGCTTGGAACCTTTTGTCAAAGGTTATCTTGAACCGGTTGAGTTTATCAAAACGTCGAAGGAAGGCCGTATTGATACTGTTCAATGTTGTTTGTCCAGTTGTTTAATGCTTCTTTAGCTTCGGTTTCATCTTAGCAACCACCAGGTGATGATTTGGAACTATGTCATCTCTCCTGGTTCTCGCGTCTCCCACTGACCTTCTAAATTTGTTCGCAGTTCAAGAACGATCAATCTGGTTCTCTGTAGTGTGGTCGGGAGAAACCCATATAGCTTTGTGTACGTTTTCAGGGGGCAATATTGTACCATCCATGACCATTTTGTTGAAGTGACATAAATTCGTAAATCTTTCACCAGTCTCGTTTCTTTATACCATTCCGTGTCGTCCTATGATATCTTCGTTTGGACCTTAGCGTTCTCGTCTCACATCACACACTTCTACACGATCAATTGCAAGCTCTCGTAAAACTGATCTTTATCGTCGACGTCGCTATCAATGGTGTGTGCATAGCACTAGATAACATTCGTTGTGATAAACTTCTTTTAGTTTTAAAGGATGCTTTGATAATTCTGGATCCATAAGTTTCCCATCTTACAGGTGTTTGACGTGCTTCTTTGGACAGTATCAAAGCATCTACCTGAGTCTGATGAATATTTTGTTCTTCGCGACCAGAGTACAGCAGCATCTCCCCGAAATTTATTCTTTTTCCTGCAGCTTGTGATTAGTGGGTTTCATTTATTCCGAGCACTGTCAAGCTGTATCTCCTCATTTCCGAAACTGTTTGGCTGGTCCTACCAGTCTCCCACATTGTCCGAACATACAATATGCCTATAATAGTTGTTACTCTTGGTACGTCAGAAGAATTGTAATGTATCTCGAAACTATTCAAAATTTAAGCATTTTATTAAATAACTGATATTTCTTGAAATGACGATTCGATCTATGTTAGACAATCATTAGAAACCTGAGAGTGCTGAACAGCCATTTCATTATGACGTGCGAACTTTCAACAATGTCCGCATCGCGGGTTCGAAGTCATAACTTTCATTATCAGGTGTTAACGCTCAACTTCTAGGCAACCGGATCAGTATCCAATTATTAACAAGTTCAACTCTTATTATTACACAATATTGCCCGACCAACTTCTATAGTCTTAAACTTGATTTCCAATGAGTGCACACTGTTGAGAAGTCTTATACTTGAACAAAATCAGTCTTTAGCACTTTCAAGTTTTGTATAGTTGTCTAACTGAAATTAGTTCGTAGTTTCAATCAAATTCAACAATCTGTACAACCATTCACTGACAAATATCTTTACAACAAAATGGTTTTCTTGCAAGCGAACAAAACCAAAAACGTGTTTCCGTAATTATGCATTTTGTTTATCAAATATTTTATCAATATATGATATACTACCCTGGAAGTGTAATATGTAGCATATTGAAATGATAATAATCATGGTAATAATATGTTTAAAAGTGAATGAAAAGGCAAGCGATTTGGCATATGCTTGAGAGATAGCGAGACAATTGAATCAGTAGTCTAATGGTAAT